CGGGACACGGTCGCGGAGCCACCCCCGCCGCCCCTCACCATGGTGCCGCCGAGCCCCGGTGCCGATCCCGCGCTGGAGCCGCCTCAGGAGCCGCCAGACAATAACCCTCCCGCGAACGACGACGGAGCCCGGCCTGCCGCGGCGGCCCGCGAGCCAATGGCGGCGCCCCGTGCTAGTTTGAACACGCCGCTACCACCAATCACAACCCGGCTTCTTACCTCCCCCCTCGCCTGGCTCCGCCCCGCGGCCCGTTTAACGGCTGTTTTTTTCCTTTGCACACGGCACGCAGGGGTGAGGGCGGGGCCGCCCCGCGCCGGTGCGGCTGAGCGACGTGGCTGTCATCCAATAGAAACAGCGGAATGGCCAGCGAGGGGGCGGGGACAGAATGACAGACAGCTCAGGGAGCCAATGGGAGGAGGGAAAACTTTCCCGCCCATTCTCTGGCCCCGCCTCTCGCGTTGTTTGTTTGCGCGGTGCGGCGCTGAGGGAAGGGCTGCGGCCGCTCCCGGTCACGGTCCCGGTCCCGGTCGGGCTCCGTCGGGGCCCTCGGTGGGGGCGGCCCCGCCGCAGTGAGGGGCCTGAGCCCGGCACAAAGCTTCCCGCTCGGTTACGGCCGGCGGCGGTGGAGCAGGTAGGGCCGCGCCGGGCCGGTGCCTCAGCGTCCCCCCGGCTCAGGGCCCCGCAGCTGCTCCCGTTCCTTTCCGGAGGAGCCTGGCGGCACCTGCCCCATGGCCAGGCCCCCCCCCCCCCCAGCTGTGCCCCGCGCAGCCCCGGCTCCAGCCGCGATGGGGCCCCGCGGCAGCTGCTGCCGGCGGGACGCGGGTGCCGGGGGCTGCTCCCGCCTGGCCTGGGGGCCGCCCGCGGGGGTTGCCGCGTTGCTCCGTGCGGTGCCGGTGTCCGACCTCCCCCCCCCCCCCCCACGGGACATGGTGCTGCCTGGGGGGAGCCCCGCGGCCCCTTGGTGCCGTGCTGAGACCTCGGGGTGCCTGTGTGTGTGTGCACAGAGCCCCATAGGGCCCCGCAGAGGTCGGGGAGTCCCGTAAAAGCCCCACAGGTCCCCAGCCAAGCCCTGACAGTCCCCCAAAAGCCCCAAGGATCCCCCCCAAGGCTCCGAGATGCCACCAGAGGTCCTCCCCAGAGCCCCTTAGGGGTCCTGTGAAAGCCCCCAAGGTCCCCACTAGAGCCCTTGGGATCCCCCCCAAAGGTCCCATGTTTCCCCAGGGCCCCATAGTTCCACCCAGAGACCCACATGTCCTCCCCTTGGCCCTAAGGTCCCCCAGAGGTGCCCCCCAAAGCTCCATAATTCAGCCCCAAGGCTCCCCCCATATCCTTCCCTCCCCACGCATGAGGGCCCCTAAAGCTGCAAGGGCCCTTCCCAGACCCACATAAGTCCCATCCAAGTCCCACCACAACCCGTTCCCAAACCAATGGCACCCCTTCAGGGACTCCCCCCCCCCCCCCCAATGATCCAGACGGGGCAGGGCCGGGATTTGGTGTTGTTTTTTTTTTTCCATTCACTTTTCCGCATACTTTTTATTTGTTACAAACATACAATTCTTTAAATATAGACTTGTAAAACTCCATCTGCAAAAATCTGCTACGGGGGAGGAGAGGAGCAGAGGCACGAGGAGCTCCTCACGCCGGGCGTCGTCTGGCGCTAGTGGTAAGATCCAGGGATCCAGGCCCTGCCTTCGGCAACCGCCGGCCGCAGAGGGACGAGGGAGGAAGGGAGGGAAGCAAGGAGGGGGGGGGGGGGGCACAGGACACCACCCCCCCCCGGCGCCGGCAGCCCCTCCTCGGGCTGCCTAAAGTGCATATGGTTGCTTTTCTGTTTTTCTTTCATTAAAAAAATAAGAGGAATAAAACTTTCTTCTTTCTCAAGGGACTGCGGGGGGGGGGGGTGTGGGGGAAGCGGGTTCGGGCTCTCTCGGCAGATCCCGGCTCATCCCGGAGGATCCGGTGGTGGTCCAGCATCGCCCCGCCGGCACGTTCTGCTGCAGAACCCCACTGCTTGCACCACCTCCAAGCTGCTGCTCCCCTCTCCCATCTCGGCTTGATCCACGAGAGCCGTTCCAGCGCCGGGAACACGGGGCCTGACTGGCTCGACCGGCTCCGCCGGGGCTCCAGCCTCTCCCTCTTGAGCCACGGTTGGCATCTCCCACCGGGAATGCTGTCCTGGTGCGCACAGCCAAGAGCTCCGTCGGGCGTCAGCTCCGGTACCACCAGCGCTCGATCCCGCTTCCGTCCGTTTGCATTTTCTGGGACTTTTGTTTTTTTTTTTCTTTTTTTTGCTATTTTTCCGTGGATTTTTGGAAGCTTTTTGTTCGGCTCCAAAGAGGAGCCGGTGAAGGGCTCACCCGGAGCAATCACCGCTCTCCCAGCACTGAGGGCCCATTCCGTGCCCCTCACCCCCAAAGCGGCTGGGACCAAGGCAGGAGAATTCCCATTTTTATCCCTTTTTTTTGGGGGGGGGAATATTGACTTGAAGCATTCCCACTATTCCCGGAGCTCCGCACATTTTGGGGTATATACAGCGAGATTTGGGCGCTATACAAGATTTACAGGTGAGTTCTGTACAGCCACAGCGCGCTCGCAACCAGGCCCTTCCGGAGCAACTCCCAGCTGGAAGTTCCAAGGATTTGGGATCATTTCCCTCCCCCCCTACCCCACCCCCCGATTAAAAACCAACCCCCAAACCCAAAAGGAATTTGTTTTCTACAGAATCCAAAGCAAACTCCCCCCTCCCCACCCCCCCCCCCGCCCTCCAAAGCCCCTCATATATGTACACACACGCGCGGAGAGGTGTATCTACATATATATAGATACAGGAACAGCCGGACCGCGGCGTTCCCGGCGCTGATGATGTGTCACCATCACCACCACCATCATCACCACCACCACCACCATCACCTCAGGGCTGATCCTGGGTGCTGGCCACGGCCTCACCCCACTGAAAGGAAACCCCCAACCCCCTCACCCCACCCGGAGCAGCCACCCGAGTCCTCGCTGGTGCCGCGGCTCCTCCGCGCCGCCGGCGCCTCCAAAGAGCGCTTGGATTCCTCCCGTTTCGGGGATGTTTTGGCCTCTTTTGCCTCTCTCCTCTTCTCAGCCATCTCCTGCAGTGGTGAATGGAAGATTCCCACATGGAGCCGGCGCTTCTCCGGCAGGAGAAAGGCTTCGTGCTGCCGACGCTGACGCGGCCCCGGCTCCCGCTTGTGTCGTCGTGTGGATTTTGTTCTCCTTTTGGCTTTACTTGCCTCTTTTTTTTTTCCTCCTATTCCATGTATCCCATGGTTTTCGAGCCAGGCTGGCGTCGAAAGGCAAGGCTAAATTCCTGCAATTCAGCCCCAAAATACAGGAATATATATATATCGTTTATATATATATATATAGAGCTCATCCTCTTCTAAAATGAAAGGAGAGGTACCGCCTGCGTCTGGCGCCGGCGCCCGCCGCTGAGTCCGTCACGGCGGAGCCACGCTTCCCCCCAGGAATCTCCTTGTTGGAAGGAGCGGGAAGAGCAGAGCTGGGGTGGGGGGGGTCCAGCAGGACGTCACTGAGAGCTGCCTTCGGGTACAAAATACAGTACGGACGCGGGTGGGACACCGAGATAAAAGACTATTGCTCCCGTGTTGAGTGAGGAAACCGGGCTTAAAAACGGGATGAAGGGAAGAAATCCGCATTAAAAATCCCTTGGGAAGAGCGACGGCGGCAGCGGAGGCCACGCGGATGGGAGGATGGACGGAGAACGTCTGTCCCCCCCCCACGGGTGCTGCTCCTTTGGGGTGAGGAGGGGATACGGTGTCACATCCCCCTTCCCCCGCTGCACGAGGGCTTCCCAATAAATACGGAGAGAGGGATCCGCCGGGATCCGCGGCAATAAATTAAGGAGGCGGCGGCGGCTCCCAAAACACAGCGGGAAAAACTCCATAAAAACCAGGAAAACTCAAGTCCTCGACACGGAGAAGCCGTGGGATGAGAGCGGGAAACTTTGGAATGAAGAGCGCTGGAGCCCAGCTCAGTCCGGAGGCGCTGGGGAAGCGCAGGGCTGGAAGGGCCGAGTGAGCTAAAAAAACAGGGAAAAAAACAGGAAAAAAATAAGGGGGGTGGGGGGGAACCAGACGATTTGAGAGTGGAAAAACTCCGTTTTAATGCGCGAGGCAATGGGGGGGCCCCGGCGGGGGCAGCACCGGAGCAAAGGGATCAAAGAGAAGGAGGAAAAGCCTCAAAAATCCCCCCAAAAAAAAGGTCCGGATCCCCCCCGGCGCCGCCGCCTGAGGTCGGTGCTGCGGGAGGAAACTCAAATCCCGGTGGAAGAGGCGGCTGTTGGTGCCGGAGCAGAGAGAAGGGGAAGGTTTGGTGCCGGGTCGAGCTTCCCTTGTGCGATCCCGGTGGGAAATCCTCAATCCCGAGGAATCTGCGGGCCTGGAGCTGGAGGGGGGTGGGGGGGAGCAGTTTGCATCCCAAAAACCCGGAAAGGAAGAGAGGAGAGAGGGGAGGAAAGGAAGGGAATGGTGGGGGGGGGGCTAAAGGGGAAAACCAGATGGAAATAGAAAGGAATGAGGGAGAGAAAGAGGGAAAATACAGGGTAAAAGAGGAAAATAAAAGGAGAAAAAGTAAAAAGGAAAAGGAAAGGAAGGGGGAAGGGGAAAGTAAAGGGAAAAGAGGGAGAAGTGGGAATGCGAAAGGGGGAAAGAGGAAAGCAAAGGGGGGAAAAAGAGGAAAGGAAAAGGGGACATAAATGGGGAAAGGAAGGGGGAAGAGGGGAAAGCAGAGGGGGGTACAGAGGAGATCGGACGTTGGTCCATGGGTGCCCCCGCCCCGGCTCTGGCTCCGCAGGCTCCGCCGCTGTTCCCCCCCCCCCGTCCCCTCCCCGGCTCCGGTGCCGGCACGTGGCTGGTCTCGGTGGTGCCCCCGGCGGCTCCATGGGCACGGGCCGGGCTCGGAGCCGGTCGCTCCCCCCCCCCGCAACCAAACCACCACCAGCAGCGCGAGTCGGGCCGGGCTCTCCCTCTCTCCGGTGGCGTTGGGGGGGTGTCGGTTCCGGGAAAGGAGGGGGGGGTGTGGGGTGTGTGTGGATTCGAGGGTGTCGGGGAAGGGGCCGGCGGCGGGATCCGGGGCTCAGTCGTCGTCCACGTCGTCGCCGTCCGAGTCGTCGCCGGCGCCGCTGCCGCTGCCGGGGCCGGGGGGTCCGGCGCGGCGGTCGTAGAGCTTGTCCCGCTGGCGCTCCTGGATGTCGCGCATCTCCTCGGCGTAGCGGCAGAAGGCGCCGCCGAACTTGGCCCAAGCCTTGTAGGGGACGGTGATGGCGTTGCGGTAGGACGGCTTCACCTCGCTCACCCGCAGGAACACCCCGTACTTGTTGCAGCCCACGTCGAAGAAGAAGCGCTTCGAGTCCACCGTGATGGACGTGCCCTCGGGCAGCTCCCCGTAGAGCCCCCCCCCTCCGGGGCCGCCGCCGCCGGGGCCGCCCAGCTCGTCCTCCTCCCCTCCGTAGTCGTCGATGAGCTTGGCCAGCGCATCGCGGAACTCGATGAGGCCCTGCGCCGGCAGCGCGATGGTCTGCCCGCTCTGCAGGCCGGGGGGCCCGCCCGGGAACCCCCCCGGGCCGCCGGGCCCGCGGTTCACGGTCTGGCGGATGCGGAGGAAGCGGCCGCGCTGGTTCTCCTTCAGGTCCAGGTAGTACTTGCGGTTCTCCCGCACCAGGAACTCGCTCTTGAGGGCGCGGCGCGGGCCGGGGCCGGCGCCGTCCTCGCCGGGGGGGCCGGCGGCCTGGGCGAGCTGCTCGGGGCTGGAGGGGCCGAGCTGCGCGT